GCCACAAACAGTCGGACATGACTGAACAACAACAGTAAAGATTAATATTCACTTACTAAATCTTACTTAACTAGATTCAGACTAATAAGTTAATAGTCTAAATCTAGTAAGTTAGTTGAATAAGGGTAATTGTGTTAAGTACAAAAAGAGAAAAGGAAAGAAAAGAGCAAGACCTAGACAGCATATTAAAATGCGGAGACATTCCTTTGTCAATAAAGGTCTGTCTAGTCAAGGCTATGGTTTTTCCAGTGGTCATGTGTGGATGTGAGGGTTGGACTATAAAGAAAGCTGAGTGCTGAAGAATTGATGCTTTTGAACTGCAGTGTTGGAGAAGACTCTTAGAGTCCTTTGGACTGCAAGGAGATCCAACCAGTCCATCTTAAAGGAGGTCAGTCCTGGTTGTTCACTGAAAGGACTGATGTTGAAGCTGAAATTCCAATACTTTGGCCACCTGATGTGAAGAACTGACTCATTTGAAAAGACCCTGATGCTGGGAAAGATTGAGAGCCAGAGAAGAAGGGGACGACAGAGGATAAGATGGCTGGATGGCATCACCGACTCGATGGCCATGATTTTGGGTAAACTCTGGGAGTTGGTGATGGACAGAGAGGCCTGGTATGCTGCAGTCCATGGGGTGGCAAAGAGTTGGATATGACTGAGCGACTTAACTGAATTGAACTGGAGGAAAACTGTCCTAAGGTTGTGAATGTGAAATGTAAGATGTGGTAATAGTTTAATATATTGTAGTTCTCTTACCACATGCTCTACTCACTCTCTGTTTGATGTTTTGTTTTTAAATTTTTCCATCAAATCACACACTGGATTGTTTGTGAAACCAATCATATATAACTTCTATGAACTTCTGAATCCAGCAAAACTTGTGTTATAAATATACCTAAAGGGTCAAAAATATTTCCCTTATCAAGATGGTTTTCCCAATCTTGGTCTATAAATTTATAGCAGTGGTCCATCCTGGGATATCTTAATCAACCATCTGCACCCATGAATTTCACACTTGTGATAGCTGCCGCATTTCTAAAGTCTGGCAGCTAAAGTTCACACATTTTAAAACTCTTCCACCAATCTTCCTAACTCTTAGAGCTAAGATTTTCATCTGACATTGATTTTTGGATTTCTTTGCTACAAGAGAAAAAAGTCTTATCTCAAAAATTCATACACTGAACACTAGACCATTTTGTAAAAATACTTTAGCTCAAGCATCAAAAACAGTGACAGGGAGCAGCTACTCATACTGAGATCAGTCTTGTGTGAATTCCAATAACTATGAGACATTTTCCTACAGATTGCAGGGTATAGACACTGAGAGCTCTATCTGTTTATGTTTAGTGCAGTTTACTGGGAAAAGGGAATTGAGTATAATAAAGGGAAATAGCAATAAAATTTATAGATCAAAGATGTTTTGCAAGGGTAATATGCATTTATGGCATGAAAACAAGGTACACTTTTTTTTTTTTTTTGCATCTATTTTAACCATTATGGTGCTCTGTGTTTAAGATGACAGAGGCTTGACAAGAAGATAAAACTTAAACATGACAGTTAGTTTAAATTCCACACCTTACTTGAAATCTAATGTTGGAAATATTTTCTTTGACACTTGGCTTGGAAAAATTTTATGCAGCTTGAAGATAGCTATTAGATCACTCCAGGATCAGAAAATCTGGATCTAATTCTAGTGCTTATCTCTAGCTAGTTCTGTGACCCAGGGCAAGCTATTCCATCTTTCTAGTCTTCAAATTATGCTTCAGTAACATGAATACATAAATGTGATGGTTCCTAACAGTCAAATATCCTGTGATTTTCTTTTTTTTTTTTCTTAGACACTATCACAGGATAATTACCCTGAAGTTTCTAAAATCTTTCTGGTCTGGTTTAATCCATTTTCACTAATTACTATTTGTGTGATTTTGAGAAAAATTACATAACTTCTGTGTGTCTCAGTGGCCACATCTGTAAAAAGGTAATGATAATAATAGAACCTACCTAATGGGATTGATGTCAGGATTAAATGAGCTATATTTTAATAATTCTAATATGAAAATTTCCTGTATTTCAATATATATATTAAGGAGGACACACATTAAAAAATTATAAATTAACATTCATTAGCATTTAATTAATAGCCATTTTTCCCTAGTGGTACATAAAATCATAGCATGTTTTATACTCATAAATAGATGAAATTTTGTAATACATATGGAATGCTTAGAATAATGCTTGGAATAAAAATTGTCCAATAGCTGATATTAAAATTTCTCTGTACATAATAATTATTATATCTAAATTAAGAAGGATAATATAAGTGTGATTAAAATCTTGTTAGTCATATCAGCCTTGGTTTTATTTTGTATCTAATCTCATAGTATAAATTTAATAATTTCATTCAGATTAATAAACATGGATTGACATAAAATATTACTTTTTACTTGAATGAGTAGATATGATACAGATTTTTACCTGAATGAGTAGATATGATATCAATTTTTCCTTGAATGAGTAGATATGATACAAGTGAGTAGATGTGACACATTTTTATGATAAGAAGAGCAAATATGCCATTTTTTACCTAAGTAAGTTGATTAAGAAGGGAAAATATAAATTATTAGGAAATTGGAAATTAAGAATATATTTATGCTTACATAAGCTTAGCTCAGTATTCAATATGAAGAAAAATAACAGCATAGTGCAGGCACCAACTTTGTACATCATAATTGCCTTTAGTTATAAATTCTCAGCTTTGATTTTTGGAGTCATAATATAAATCTACATCATAATTCTGAGTTTCATTTTTTCTTGGCAATGTTCCTTAGAAATTTAGTCAAATAAATTCTATACAAACTGTGTTCCTATGCTTTAAAATGAATAAAATATCTAGGGAAGAAAAAAAATCCAGTTCATAAAAAATTATTTTAATTATAGCTCATTTATTTTCAAAACAAAAGTAAGAAAAGTGTTCAATTAATGATTTCTCTATTTCACTCTCAGGAAATCCTAGAGGTCTCTGCATTTACTCAAAAAATGAAGAAATGAAAATGATATAAAAATGAATATAATTCTTAGGAATTTAAAATTGGATTTTGATGGGTTTAAATATCTGAATGGGCCCTTTAAAGATTTACATGAGCATTTATGAATGAAACATTTTTTGTTCAATCGAGTAATTGAGTTATTATTGCATGAAATAAGGGTGAGTAATGTCACAAACCCCTGTGTTCTAGACCCATAACACATAGTGATGAGGAACAATCAAAGGGTTAAAAATTACAGTTCTCTCAACTGTCAAATGATTAAGATTTTGGAGAAAGAAAGATAAAGAAAATAAAAGTAAAATGGAAAGAAGACTATATTCTATGGTTTAAAAGAGTTTTGCTAAATAGTTAGATCTACACAAATAGAAAAATACATGGAGGAAGAATTAGAGGATAAGCTTCTCCAAATGTCACTTTGTCCACCTCAGTTAATGGTATGTCCAAAAAGAAATTTCTTGTTCAATCAAATTTATATTAAACAAAGTAGTTTGTCTGAACTACATTATACCTGGGACTTTGACAATGATATATCCCTTGTTGGCAAAAACACTGTACTGCTAACAATAATCAAAACATTTTCAATACATTTAAGGGAACAGAGGGAAGAAAAAACAACAAAATCTATTTTCAGTGAGAAAATACAATAAACACAAACACACCAGAACACACATACGTTTATACCAATACATGTGATCTATCAATCCATCATCTTTTACATCTATGATAGGGGAAAATAGGTGAAACAAATGTGTGTGCATTAATGTTAAAGTCAACTATTAAAGGGCTTCCCTGGTGGCTCAGAGGTTAAAGCATCTGCCTCCAATACAGGAGACCCAGGTTTGATCCCTGGGTTGGGAAGATCCCCTGGAGAAGGATATGGTAACCCACTCCAGTATTCTTGCCTGGAGAATCCCATGGATGGAGGAGCCTGGTAGGCTACAGTCCATGGGGTCGCAAAGAATAGAGGAAAAAAAAGCAAAATCTATCCTCAGTGAGAAAATACGATAAACACAAACACACCAGAACACACATACATTAACACCAATACATATGATCTATCAATCCATCATCTTTTACATCTATGATAGGGGAAAATAGGTGAAACAAATATGTGTTCATTAATGTTAAAGTCAACTATTAAAACACAAATCATTAAAAATGTGGAACTTTTATTGCACAGCATGAACATACTTAGCACTATTAAACTATATACTTAAAATGATTAAAATAGTAAATTTCTTGCTATGTGTTTTATATAACAATTTTTAATGAAAAATAATATACTTGCACATTCAGCCTAGAATAATTGATAGAATTATTGATAATAATAATTGATACTTAATAGTATCAATAATTGATACTTAATAGCTTTTCCAAAATTAAAAATAAATAAATAAAATAATATTATACATGAACAAATTAAGAGAAAAAATTTAAAAATGATTATTTTTATTTTTAATTCAAATATACAGGAAAATAAAGGATCAAGCTGAGGAAAAGTCGTTAAAAAATAAAAGATTAATGAAAACTCCAATTTAACCTCTTCTTATTAAGCATCATTGTCTTCCTTGAATATAGCAGGTGAAGCAAATTAATCTTTCAACAAATGGATGTGGGCATTTTTAGCTCAACTAATAAAAATGAATTAAAAACATTTAAAAAGAAAGTTGTTCATTACTTTCTCCAAAAATCGCTAAAAAGTAACACTTTACAGTCAATGACAAGAGCACTATATTTTACAGTTTGACCATTACCAGAAGAGAAAAAAGTTATTCTTTCCTTTTATTCTAACAGTTTATTTTAAATTGCTTTTAAAAGATGTTAATGTAAAAATATGACCATAAAAGAAGGTCAGCAAAGAACATATTTATAAGTTAACTTAGAGTATTTAAAATCACAAGGAAAATGTAAATCGCTCAGTACCAACATGATCTCCATAGAACTATGGCATACCTCGTAATGGCCTTCTTCATTCTCCTGAATATGGAAACCCGCAGAGCTGGGACATTTCTGAGGAGTGACAGGAATATTGTCACTTTTGTTGTGTGAGTTACACTGAAAGAGATTACCAAATAATTGTGACAAACTATTCCATATTAAGAGTGTCTATTGAGAGACATGTTTGTTTCCTAACCTTCTAATGAAGGAGGTCCTTGTCAGGGGACCTTCAAGTCAACCAGGGGTCTTCCTCAGGTACATGCATTCATATCGAGCCTTTACCAAAAAGGTAAAGAATGACCCCAGGATAAACAAATTGTGTTTTCACTGAAACTAAAGAAATCTAAGAGGTAGTTATTTTACTCTTTCTATTGAAATATTTACTTATTATACTTATGATTTTAGTAGCCAAAACTTGTATGATGTCATTCTTTGAATGAGGTATTATTCAAATGCTTGATATATATCACATATTATTAAACTGTGACATAGATATTATTATCCCCAGTTACAGATGAGAGAAATGAGGTGTAAAAAAAAATTTTTTTCCCAAAGTTGGGCTAGTACTCAGCTTTCTAGGATCATTCCTCATAACTTATCTACCTTATCTATGTCCTTTATAAATGATACATTTGAAATAGCCAAAACTGAAAAATTAAAAGTTAAAGGTCTTAAAGTATTATTTCACTTTTTCCTGTAGCAAATGCAAAATATTTTTAAAAACATGTCGACTAAAATAATTCACCTATAAATGAATATGAATTTTAAAACAAGATGTCATAGAATGGCTTGGCTTTTCTCCATGAAAATATTAAACTGATTATTTACCATATTCCTCCAAAAGTTGTTTTGTGTGAAAACAAGATAAAATTTACTTTCTGTTATCCTTGCCTCCTTCTTTCCTAAATCTCTTACTAGTTTCATGGCTGCTTGATCATTTATTAAACATAATATTGAGTTTCTAAGTTTTCCACTTTAATAAAAAACATTGTAGTGCCTCCCCCAAAGGCTCATCATTGACATATAACCCTTCCTCTCCCATAAGACTACAAAGGTATGCACAGATTTTTATAAGTAGGGAAGATAATAGTTTTCAAGGTAGAATGCCACTGTTTTGGTTCACTAGTGAAATTTTACTTTCCCCATCCCAAAGAACAAACTTAGAAAATTACTCTCAAACACATTTTCAAAAGTGTGTTTTAGAGTTTAGTATAATCAAGATCAATATATTTTAATCTCAAAACCACCATTTTATATATTTATACATATTTTAAAATACATTACATGTTTTAAAGCTTAAATGTTTTTATTTTAAACTCAGAGAAAAGGCAAATATTCTGAAAATATTTGCAATATAACAGAGTATGAAAGCATGACTCTGAAACCCAAGCCTATATTAGAAAACTTTGTCATGAAAAAGAATATACGCCTGTCCTCTCTCCAATAAAATCATTTCAACCCTGTTTAAAACCTACCTCTTCTAGGAACTTGTTTTGGGTAATAAAACAAATGGTGATTGCATTTAACCTCTGTTTATAATCTGAGTGACTTAGGTGTAATTTGTAAAATGCTGGTCTGCCAGTATTCATTCTTAGAATGTGCCTAGTTTGTCTGAACAACTTCACTGTTAATTATTAAGGCCACTTTGGTATCTCTCCGCAATGACTTCTTCAGATTTCAAAAAGGTTTAGGTTTTAAAACAGTTATCTTCATCTGTGATGGTCTTAGACATTTTAGTCTCTCAATTCATGTCCCTCACTTTTCCTCGTATCTATTCATGCTGATTAATTTTTTTAATACCTCTCATGTATTATGCAGTTTTTCTCCTTAGAAACATTTCCACAATTCCTGTGGCCCAGGAGTGGTTCTCATCCTACCTGTATGTTAGAATCACCCAGGGAGCTTTAAAATATGCCCCTGACTGAGCCCCACCTCACGCCAGATAAATGAGAACTAAGGCAAAACTATTTTTGAAATACCCAGGTAATTCTTGTGTGCAGCCAAGAGTTTAGAATCCCTGGGTTAAGGTTTTCATTTCTTTTCTGGCCTCAGGACACTATAGGGAATTTTAGCCTCACTCTTCTTTCAATCTGATCTCTTGTTAATCCTTTTCCTTATTTAACCCATTGTGGATTAGGTGATTTTTTTTTTCAATGGATGCATGAAATTGGAAAAAAAAATCCTATGTTTGCGTAATACTTTATTCCTTTACGTATAAGATTTTATGTATTATCCACAGGAAACCTCTGCAGAGAGAGGTAGAAAATGTAATCCTGCCTTAACAGATGGGGAGTGCAGAGGTTCAGATAGATTCAAAGTCCTCTGTGCAAGGATTTGACCAGTGAAATCACTCCTATGTAACAAGACTTGGGCTATGGCTACCCTGACATTTCTCCCTTAAGGGATTCATTGATTTGCTTATTCATTCACATCTCCTATTCTATTTGTTCATTTGTTTGATCATCAGATATTTGCTGAGTGAATGCTTTGATTCAGGATTTTAGTGTTTCACCAAGGTAAGGCATTTTGTATCTGCAATGGTCTCACACTAGCAGTGAAGTCATAATTGGAAACAAAGAACCATCATGATATGCATAAGTTGCTAACGGACAAAGAAAAGAGAACTGTGAGACTCCACTGAGTCTAGTCTTGAAAAATGTGCTGATGAGGGAATCATGGCCAGTACACTTAGGACAGAACAATCAGTATAGGCAAAGGCTAGAGATATGAATTCCCCAGACTTGCCTATGAGCTGCAAGTAGTTCAATAATGCTTTAACCATGGATCGTGTGAGCTATGCCATGAAGATAGGGACAGGGGTTATTAGTGCATGAAATTTAATGGTTAGGCAAATGATGAGAAGTTACAGAATTGGGCTTAATATGAGAGATGACACGCAAATAATGGAATGGTGCTTTTATACAGTGGGTGCCAAAGGTGAGTTTTTATCTTCAATCCTTCCCTATCTCCCTAAGGTAGTAATATGATACAAGCAAAATGAATGCATTTGCAATATAACTTACACTCAGGTAAGTCCTTCCACCTAAACAAGATTTTACCACTATCCCTTTCTTATGTCTAATTCTTTAGCAGCCTCTTATAAACAGAGGCATTAACAGAACAGTTAATGACATCCAAGGAAAGTTTAATTCACTGTTATTTCATCACTTTTTAAACTTTTGAGTGTTATGAGGCCTCTAAGGATTACAAATCTATGAATCAGAGTGAAAATGAAAGCAAAAATAACAGTGTAAGGAATATTTTGAGCGGCAATATTATTAATAGCCCAAACATTAAGGAAACACATTCTTAAGGGAAAAACAATTTAATTGCTATGTATTCTTCCCGACAAGTTTCTATTTCAAAGACAGTTGCAGCTGAAAATAGAAGGTTTATTATAAAAGTCTTGAGATTTCATCAAATAAAATTTTCCATTTTCCAAATTTGATATGAATAACTATAAAATGAGTTATGGTCAAGATAGATTTGCTAAATCAGATTTAATATTGAGGGATTCATATATACATCATACTTAAGAGAGCTAGAGTTCTCTAACAACAATCATATTAAATGGAGATCAATGTAAATACATTTATTTTATACTTTCAATTCTATTTGATATTTTCCATTTAATGGTCTCTATTTTATTTTGTGTATAACTCTTCTCTCAAACACTTGTCATAGTTCCTAGGAAATTGTCATTCACTATCAACAGAAATACCTACACAAATCTGGCTCATAATGAGGAATATTAGTTCTTTTATTTTTGATACAAATTCCTAAGGAAGTCTTCATAGTCAAAATATCAAGAGAAAAACTGCAACAGTAACAAAAGCAACAAAAGTTTTATGAAAAATTTCATAATCATTAGGTTCAACACTGCTGTTTTCTTTGCTACAAAGGGGATTCTTTACATTTCTCCACCCAACTCTATAGTAGTAGCAATATGCTTTATTCTTTTACTCTTCCTACCTTCTTGTGAATTCGAGGTTCTTTGCCAAAAATCAATTGTGCTATTATAAAATGTGTGCAGTCATTATACAGGCAGCACCTTGTGTTTTTATGCTATAGGTTTCATTAAATAACAATTCCTTTTTTTTTATTAGTTAGAGGCTAATTACTTTACAATATCGTAGTGGTTTTTGTCATACATTGACAAGAATCAGCCATGGTTTTACATGTATTCCCCATCCCGATCCCCCCTCCCACCTCCCTCTCTGCCTGATCCCTCTGGGTCTTCCCATTGCACCAGATCTGAGCACTTGTCTCATGCATCCAACCTGGGCTGGTGATCTGTTTCACCCTAGATAATATACATGTTTCGATGCTGTTCTCTTGAAACATCCCACCCTCGCCTTCTCCCAGAGTCCACAAGTCTGTTCTATACATCTGAGTCTCTTTTTCTGTTTTGCATATAGGGTTATCGTTACCATCTTTCTAAATTCCATATATATGTGTTAGTATACTGTAATGGTCTTTATCTTTCTGGCTTACTTCGCTCTGTATAATGGGCTCCAGTTTCATCCATCTCATTAGAACTGATTCAAATGAATTCTTTTTAATGGCTGAGTAATATTCCATGGTGTATATGTACCACAGCTTCCTCATCCATTCGTCTGCTGATGGGCATCTAGGTTGCTTCCATGTCCTGGCTATTATAAACAGTGCTGCGATGAACATTGGGGTGCACGTGTCTCTTTCAGATCTGGTTTCCTCGGTGTGTATGCCCAGAAGTGGGATTGCTGGGTCATATGGCAGTTCTATTTCCAGTTTTTTAAGAAATCTCCACACTGTTCTCCATAGTGGCTGTACTAGTTTGCATTCCCACCAACAGTGTAAGAGGGTTCCCTTTTCTCCACACCCTCTCCAGCATTTATTGCTTGTAGACTTTTGGATAGCAGCCATCCTGACTGGCGTGTAATGGTACCTCATTGTGGTTTTGATTTGCATTTCTCTGATAATGAGTGATGTTGAGCATCTTTTCATGTGTTTGTTAGCCATCTGTATGTCTTCCTTGGAGAAATGTCTGTTTAGTTCTTTGGCCCATTTTTTGATTGGGTCATTTATTTTTCTGGAGTTGAGCTGGAGGAGTTGCTTGTATATTTTTGAGATTAATCCTTTGTCTGTTGCTTCATTTGCTATTATTTTCTCCCAATCTGAGGGCTGTCTTTTCACCTTGCTTATAGTTTCCTTTGTTGTGCAAAAGCTTTTAAGTTTCATTAGGTCCCATTTGTTTATTTTTGCTTTTATTTCTGAAATTCTGGGATGTGGGTCATAGAGGATCCTGCTGTGATTTATGTCGGAGAGTGTTTTGCCTATGTTCTCCTCTAGGAGTTTTATAGTTTCTGGTCTTACATTTAGATCTTTATTCCTTTTGTTAAAGCTTCCCACAGAAACTATTATTCCTACTCATTTTAAGAAACTAGAGATTGCTTTCATGAAGAATTAGTAGACATCCTTCAATTTTTAATACAAAAGTTCTAAACATCAGTAAAAGATTCACATTTGCAGAAATGAATCTAAAGACTTGTCTGCACTTGGTATCTTCAACCTCTCTACCCATTCTTGGTAGAGCCCACATGTGTCAAGTTTTTAACACCTCTTATAGTAACTGAAGGGCAATTCACAGCCCTCTTCTCACTTGACACAACTGATAACTGCTTCCTTCCAGATGCATTTGTGTCACTCACCCTGAAAGGGCCCACGAACTCCTGGGTGTCCTTTTATCGGTCATGCTTTCCTTCTGAAATCACATAACTGTTCATGTTGGTATTGTCATTACTAAAACTGAAAAGTTCAGAGAAAATGAAGCTTACTTCCTTAGGAAGTACATTTTCTGATGGCTTTCTCCTCTGGTTCCCAATTCTAAAATAGTTTCTCAAACAGACACATGAACCATTTACTATTTGTAAACAGACAAAGGA